ACAGACTCTGATGCGTTAAGAGGCTTCAAATGTATGTATCACGAGAGAAGACAATACGAGATCAAGACTGAATATAATTTGTTTTAATTTTTAAATTGGATTAATTTTTAATTAAATGTTTTTATTGAATGTAATTTTTTTAATTGATTTTTTTATCGAATGAATTTTTTTTATTTTATGAATTTTTATCATTTAAATTTAATTCATTAATTAGGTTTAATTCATTAAATTTGAAAAAATTTGTAACAAAATATTTAAAAAATTGAAGTCCTGAAACTTCAAACTCATTTTTAATTAATTTGTGAGTAAATTAAAACTGATATAATAGAAATAAGGTTTGAAGTCACAATTTGAAATGAGGAGGGTTAAGAATGCCAACTTTCACCATTCCATTTCAATTTTCAACTCCCAGCTACCATACTTATTGGTCGAATTAAACTCCCCTGATTTTATCTGATCTCCGATTGGCCCGTTAATTACGAGGTACCCTGTAAAATTACTCCGTATTTAAAAACTGTGAATGTGAACGGGTTGTGGATCATTATTGGTGGTCAAACTAAACTCCCCTAATTATATGAAAATGAGCCCATTAATTACGGAAAGCTCCCATATTACATCCTCTTAAAAATATGTGAAATTTGTACCAAATAAGACTAAAACATAATGACATTTGTATGACTTAAATTTTTTATTTTCTAAATAGGACTTAATAATGACCTAGTTGAAAGAATAATGTCCAACAATGATGGACATTTTGTTAAATAATGACTACTTCCTCCTTCCCGGAGTATTCGTCCACTTTTGACTTTTCTAACTGTTCATCTAAGCACTTTGACTCATCAAATTCTCTTAATGTGTAAACCTAAATATAGTCATGTGTGATTTTGTTTAATTTGTATTAACATATAAATTATTAATATATACTCCGTAATTTATATAATTTTTTAATATACAAATTACAAGATAAAATGGATTAAAGAAGTGTATTAGATGGTGTGTAACACATGTTTTGGTTTACAATGTTTGACTGAAGTTATTTTCAAATCATTTTATATGACAAATGGTATAGAATTAAAAAATAAAAATTACATATCAAAATACTACATTAAAAGATCTACAAAACTAGTAGTGACAACAATATTTTATTTTATCAATTTGCTAACGAAAATAGAGAAAGAAAGTGAATGAAGTTTGACTATGAATAGTGAACAATCATTATAATTTGGGACAGAGAGGGAGTATATCTCATTTGATATTTTCATCTCTCCATAACTTTTACACCATCCGTCCATGTTTGCTTTTTTTTATCGAAGCTTAAATTTTAATCTTGATCTATAGGATAAACTTGATATATAAATGTAAATCTAATAAAAATATTATAAACGAAGTTTTGGAAATTTTAAAAATGTGAATTGCTCCGAATGTATTTGACTCTCATTGAGTCTAGGAGAATATGAATTACTCCGTATTATTTATATATTCCATCCGTCCCAAAATAATTGCAACATTTTTTTTAGCAGTCGTGGGAATTTTTTTATATTTCTACGTTTCCATTGATTATTTAATAAAATAAAATATTCTTGACATCTCTTATTTCGAAAAACTTTTCATGTAATTTTTTGATACGTAAATTTTATTTTTTATTTCTATATCAATATGTAAATAAAATGAATTGAAAAAAAAATTTGATATTTTGTCTCGAAAATACAAATGTGACAAATATTTAGGGACAGAGGGAGTATGATCAATATAGAGTAACATCATGTATATAAATTATAACATTTCACTTAAAATTTAAACAACTAGTAGTATCACACTCGTGTGACACGAGTCATATTTACAAAATTTTTTGAATGATATCTAAAAGAATATGGAGATTTTATTATTTTAAGATACAAAAATTTCTTGCTTTTTAAATTTCGAAAGACTTCTTTATAAATTACATTATTCGTACAATTTGTGGTAACATTGTTTTCATTGCATATCAGAATATTCAATCCACTATGATTTGTTACTCTTGAAACTACAACATAGAGTTGCCTATGACTAAATACTGGTTTTCGTAACAATAGTCTAACGTGTTTCAAAGATTGCCCTTGACATTATAAAATGTTGTAATTGACACTCGTTCTAAGATATTAAAAACATTAACTATTAGACTTGAATTTTTGTGTCAAATATTTTCAATTTTATATTGAAATAATATAATAAGAATACCATTATCATCATTAAAACGTTGTTACTGTTTACGTATTTTAGATTTATATTAATGAAAAACTAAACTCTGAATCATGAAAAATTACATCCAATGATGATTCAGGGCCTTAGAATAGGCGAGTACATGATAGACTCTTATTGCTCTAAGTTTTAGCATCAAATTCGATGACCTCTCATCAATATATTTTACAGCGATTAAGATCTCAATGTTTTGCTCAAAGGACTATAGTTGAAAACGTACTCATATAATATGCAAATTTTTGTTTCTTATTCTATTTTTGTATTTCCTAATTTTTAATTTTCATAATTCATAAGTTTCGAAACAATCACAGCTCCTTAATAAATACTCCGGTAGAAACTTTTTTTAAAAAAAATAATTTGACATTTTACCTTTTGGAAGCAAATTAATGTAGTATTAACTACTCCCTCCGTCCCAAAATATTTGTCACATTTGCAACACCTATTATTTCGAAGAACTTTTCATTTAGTTTTTTGATATGTAAATTTTATTTTTTATTTCTATATACCAATATGTAAATAAAATAAATTCAAAAAATCTGATATTTTACCTTGGTAATAAAAGTGTGACAAATATTTAGGGACGGAGGGAGTACCATATTCATAATTATGTCATTGCATTACTATTAATGTAATTCATACACGCAGCATTACACACTTACCAAGTAAATTTAAAGTACTCGTCTTTGCATACTTAATATAAATGGAAACCTAATTAAAATGGAAGCATAATAATATTATATTATTTTATGGCATAGCATTAGTATTAATATTAATTAATATAAATAGAAATACAATTAACATAGAAGCATAATATTAAATATATTAAATATATATTTTAATTATGGAAGCAAATTAAAATGGAAGCAAATTAAAGTAGCATAATTAAGTCAAATGTGTATCAAAATATTTAAAAAAAATTTGAAAAGATGTGCATCAAAATATCTAAAAAAAATTGAGACCCCGGAGCTTCAAACTCATTTCTAATGACTCTATGAGGTAAACTAAAATTAAGGTATTAGAGAGTGGAGGTTTAAAGTCACCATTTAAGTTATGGGGTTAAGAATGCCAAAATAGAATAAAATAAAAGTTTCCTGCCAACTTTCACCGTTCCATTTCAACTCCCCAACTACCATACTTATTGGTCAAATTAAACTCCCCTTATTTTATCCGATCTCCAATTGGCTCGTTAATTATGAGGTGCTTCGTAAAAGCAAACACATCCACCCTATAGCCCCTTGCATGCATAGTAAAATTATTTAAAAATTTGAATCTGAACGGATGTGGATCATTATTGGTCAAATTAAACTCCCTTAATTAAGTGAAAATGAGCCCGTTAATTATGGAATGCTCCCGTCAAAGGCTCAAAGCAAATACATCCCCTTAAAAATATTCGTTCCTTGCATATTCATAACTTTTACTCCCTCTTCCAAACTTTGAACTTTTTTGATCAAAGTTTTTTGTTTGCTTTTTCTAGGTGAAAGCTTGTAAATCTTAATCATGATATACGAAAAAAATTACTCCGTATATAAAATTTTTAATCTAAGGTGTAACATTAAAAAAATTCTCTATAAATATAGTTATAAAATACAAGTATTAAGATTTAATGTAAATTATTTAGGTCATGTTCTCTTTAATTAGAAAGCTAATTTCCAATTGTTTTTTGTTGCTTTCATATTCTTTGACAATGACTTAAAAATATATGTATTTTTATATGATGAATATACAATAACTCATATATCCAAAATAATAACTTATCACCTCTACCACAAGCAAAAACAAATTCTTTTTTATCCTAAATTAGAGTATTCTTATATTTAGGTGCTCATTTAATTAAGTAGTTTTTTAACACTTTAATACTTTTGACATTTTTTATATCCTAATTTCTCTCAACTTCTTTTTTTATGAGGGAATTGTTGGTTCCATAGTGTTGGCTAAACTTTTGGCAAAATAGAATCCCATATGTGATAGATGTTTTACTAGGTAGAAACCTCTATTTGTTAGGAGAGGTTTATTTTATTTAGACTTCTAGAGCTGCTGCAGTTTTCGAGGTTGATGCAGAAGATGCTACAGCACGATGCTGCAACACACTGTTCGGGATCAAAGGTCTAAGCACGGGATTTTAAGCTGCAATCTGAATTAGAGACCTATTGCGATTGTGATTACATGATAATAACTCCAGCTGTACATGCTAAGGAATCCCAACTCTTTAGGCTACTTGTGGATCAAGATTAAGGAAGTAGAGTTCAAGCCAACTTCTACTCTCCTACTCCTACTAGGATTGTATTAAGAGGAGCCTATAAATACACAGTTGGTCCCTGGGAATTACTTGGAGCGATTGAGAGGGAAAACACAGAATATACGCTAATGTAGAGCGTTCCCGTCGCGTCCCGGAGCTTCCCATGCGTGAAGAAGGTCACGATCTACACGAAGGAGGAGTCCTACATCGCCAAACAGATCGTGACGTCCAGAAGATGAACAAGAGCTGAACGAGTGGGCTGCCAACACGTTTGTCCTCGTGATCTCGGTGGAGATGTGATAGCCAAAGCAGATCTGAACAGAGTTCGGGTTAGAAATCCTAGATTAGAAGTTTTGTCATAGCAATTCAGAGAAGTGTGTCTCATCATGTTGTTATGTACAGGTGTAACTTGCATCTAGTGATTTAGTGGAGGGCTATTACACGGACGTGGGCCCCACAGATTAGGAGAGTTTCTCCGAACTGCGTAAACATATCTGGTGTTATTTTTACACTTTTTACAGTTACAGCATTATGCCCAGTAGGCGCTGTAACACCCTCTGCGTCATCTGCTTCTGTGTGTGCTTGTGACAGAGAAGTGTTAGAGCACATTGTCCGTCATCTGTTTCTGGACAGTGCTGCAACATCTTCTCTGCAGCAGAATTGGTTGATTTGTTTGCATGGTTTTTAATTGGTGATTTCCGCTGCGCCCCCACGAACTGCCCCCACGAACTTACAGGAATGTCCTTAATGTTGATATGCCAACTATAGCCCCTTGGTATGTATAGCAAAACTATTTAAGTTTTATTCTTTTTAGTTAGGAAAATAGTGTTGAAAAAAACTGAAAAGAGTTGGGAAGAAAAGGGAAAGATTAAAAAAAGAAAATATTTTAAAGAAATTGAAAAGAGTTAAAAAAACTAAAAGAAGTTTGGAAAAAATGAAAGTCGTTGATATTTTTTTTTGAAAGAGTTCAAAAAAATGTAAGGAAAAATTACCCAAAATAATCACAACTTTACCCGATCTTTCAAAAATAATCCCATCTTTCACTGTGATGCATAATAATCCCAACTTTCAAACTATAGAATTGGAATTGAAATTGAAAACTATAGAATTGGAATTGAAACTATAGAATTGGAATTGAAATTGAAAACTATAGAAATAATCCCCGTTTGGTACACAAAATTCAAACTATAGAATTGGAATTGAAAACTTCAATTCCAATTCTGGTGTTTGGTAGCACAAAAAATTAATTGGAATTGGTGAATTCAATTCTATGGAATTGAATCCCATGGAATTTCAATTCCAATTCAATTCCAATTCCTTCAATTCCGTATACCAAACGGACCCTCAATTTTTCGTAGGGATTGTATTATCCCCATATCGTACAAGAGCACACCAGCTCACATGGGTCGTTGCAGTTTTTAAACTAATTTGATAAAACCTGTAAGATATAGGGAAACGATTTCTTGAATGAGGCTAAGTATGTAGGACTACTTTACCTGATGAGCTACCTGCTTCGATTTTAGAGAAGAGGAACAGAACATCTGTTCAAATGTTGTTTGGCTCTATTGTTGGAGGCTCAAGTATTGAAGAAAGACAGCGATGTGCTAGAGAAGTTGCCAGCGAAATTTGTCATGTTATTGGATTGGTGGCTTTGGATTAGAGAGATTATAGAGGAACACACTGTTCTTTAGTGTTGTTACTGAAATTTTAGTGCACACATCTTTCCTTTTGTTCCTTTTTCAGCAGTATTTTTGGGAGTGTAACTACATTTTCAACAGTATTTTTTGTAATTGTGTGGCATGAACTAACAACTCAAATTCCATATAAGTTACTACTAAAAACGAAGGACCCTATCAAATCCAGATTTTTTTTTAAAAAAAGGTAAGGCCCCGTTTGGTACATGGAATTCAAACTATGGAATTGGAATTGAGGGCTTCAATTCCAATTATGGTGTTTGGTAGCACAAAATTTATCTGGATTTGGAATTGATAGTGTAAAAAATGAATTGAAATTGGCAGAATTCAATTCTATGGAATTGAATCTCATGGAATCTCAATTCCAATTCCGTCAATTCCGTATACCAAACGGACCCTTAAGGAATTTTGAAAATAATGAATCAGTTCCTGTACGAAGGAAAAACTAAGATTGAGTTAATGTACTAAATCCATTCTACACGCACTAACGAATTCAAGAACAATTTCATTAAAACCATGCATTGAATCCCAAAGTGCTTGAAAAAATCTATATCAATTTAGTATTTGTGATTAAACCTAGCAATTAATCACACCAAAAAGGCAAAAACTGATTGATTTTGAGATGAAGTTATAAAATTAATGAAATAAAAATGAAATTGATATGGAGATATATAGGAGTATAAATGGAAATGAGATGAGTTTGAAACCTTAAGTATGAAAAAAAATAAAGTAATTAGTGCTGAATTTGGGCAATTCCTTGGGTGCACCTCGAGTGTTTAGAAACACAACCAACTTGTACTAATAAGAAGCAGACATGTGGCATCTTTTGCCATGTCATTAATTATTTTCGAATTTGGTCTCAGGGACCTTTTTGCAATTCTAAACAAACCTCTCCCTCCGTCTAACTCGGATTTCTCTTCATCCTATACGCCATTTCATCCATCCCTCCCTCCACCCAACCGGCATTTACCCAGATTCCATCTCACTTCCAGAGGATTAAAGTGTAGCGTCATGGCCGACTCTCCGTGGCTCAAGTAAGGGAACAATAGCGTGTGAAACATAGGAGAATTATGCAGTGGCCTTTTTTTTATGACGAAACTGCAATTTCAATCCAAAAGGGGTGCTGCATTTGTTTGGATCTCCTAGTACTAAACTTGATCTTGGATTTTCAATTTCTTGGTTATTGTGGCATGATTTATTCTTTTATAAAATGGTGTAGGTATCGTTCTTTTAGTTTGATTTTTAATTCTGCAAAAAGCAATGTAAAATTTTTACATTAACCAAATCAAAATTCCCAAAAAGAAATCGAATCCTTATTCCCCCAAAGAAACTCAAAGTTTAAACTTTAAAAAAGGGCTAATCTATACATTATTTAAAAAGATATGTTTTCATTTTTATTTTTATTTAAATGTTACACCATTTAAGCATTTAAATTAAATTAAATTAAATACTGGTGAAGCACTGGAGAATTGAAGTATGGAAATAAAATACACTGCCATTTAAATATTAAAATAAAATTTAAAAATTACAAATTAATAAAGTATGAACATGATTAAAATGATTTATTTCAAACAAACTACGAATTAATTATTTATCATTAAAAATATTATAATTTACAAGCATGGTAACGTGTAAAAATGGTAAGTTTTCTAAAATAGATTAGAAAATAAATATGGTACGATTAGTAGATGATAACATTTAAATAAAAGAATAAAATAAAAAACTACAAATTAATATTAATACTATAATTTAAAAGAATGGAAAGGTTTTAAAAATGACAAATGTTCTAATTAGAAAATAAATAGATATGGTATGGTAAGCAATTAGCACCATTTAAAAACAAAAATAAAATAAATGGTAAGTTTTTAAAAATAAATTAGGTCAGTGTTCTAAAATAAAAGAGAAAATAAAATATTCCATCCGTCCCCAATTTGATTACAAATTGTGGATTACGGAGTAAAATTTCTTACTTTTATTTTTAATGAAAAAGTATATTTTATTTCATTTTTCATTTTCTTTTATAAGATTTTCTCAAAAAATCTCTTTTTTGAAAATAAAACAAGTGAAAATTTTTAATTTGAGAAAGAGAGCGTATATTTTTATTTTATTTATTTGTATAACAAAAAATGCAAATAAAAGAGTGAGACTAAAACATAGAGAAAAACAAAGGGTATTAATGTCATTTTATATCTTAAAAAAGGCAAGAGGGGCGTCTGTGCAATCATTCAAATTTTATCCTCCTTAAAAAATATTTTTTGAAATTTGTTTTTGCAATCATTCAGAATATAGAGTTAGAAGATAATTGGTATAAATACATGAGGGTATTAATGTCATTTGTCCAGGGGCGGAGACAGGGGGGGCATGCCTGGGCAAGTGCCCCCGGCGAAAATCCGGCGAATTAGCATTAGGTACCCAATCGGCGATGGGAGGCTGAATTTGCCCCCCCAGATTTTTCGAAGCTTTCCTTGGTCCGGCCGGCGGCAGCAGCTCGAAGAAGAAGGAGCCATTCCCGAAGAAAAAGAAATCCCGTACGACATCGTTTTTGTAAAGGGTTAAAAAAATGATTTTGGGCTTTGACCCAGCCCAAATAAACGGAGTCACTTTAAATGTCATTATGTCAGCCCAAAAAAAATATTACGGAGGTCATGATTTATGAAGAAATACGGAGTAGTGGAGTACCAGCCAAAAAACAAAATACGGAGGTCAATAGGTCATGACTCATGTTTCATGAAGAAATAAGGAGTACTAATTAATTTCAGCCGTTCAGCACTTCATCGGCTTATTCGGCTGCACTCCACCGTCTCCACGATCGAAACGACGAAACCAGAAATCGGAAACCAGAAGGTATATGTAAATTTTACTCAATTATCTAATTTCGAGATTTGTTTCTTAATATTTGAATTTTTTGAATATTGCTAAATTATGTTTTGAATTTTGAATATTTAATTTTGAATTTTGAATATTTAATTTGTTCCGTGGTTCCAGTGTATTTGTTGATATTTAAATACTCCGTATTTGATAAATGTTAATTTCAAGTTCTAGAGATATAAATGAAATTATTGTTTTAAGATTATTGATATTTTATTTTGTTACTTTATTATTGAGTTAGTAAATTTTAAGGCATGGATAAATTTGTTATTAGACACAAGAAAAATTTAGAATTTATAAGTGATAAAAGACAATGAATATTTTCAAGATTGATTTACGCAACTCTTTGGGAGATGAGTTTTTATTAGATTGTCTGTTGTGCTCCTTTGAGAAAGAAATTTTTAGGAGCATTAATGATGAAATTATTATGCAGCGCATTCAAAAGTTGGCATCTCAAAAAAATTTCTACGACCCCAATCAACTCTTACTCCTTTGCACAAATAGAAGCTATGTTCAATTAAGGTAGTTACTATTATGAATTTTGTTTATTTATTAAATAAATTTTTGCCTCCCCAGGAAGTCTTTCCTGGCTCCGCCACTGCATTTGTCATCTTTTTTTCTAATGGGAAGGTAGTTTTAGGACGAAGAAAAAGAAAAAGTGGGAAGAAAATTTTAGGACGGATGGAGTATGAAAAAAGAAGTACTCCGTAAATAAAATCAATTTCTAAAAGTATTTTCTCTATCCCCAAATTAAATTCATACTTTTTTTGCCCAAAAAAACAAAATTCAAACACATAATATTCTCTATCATAATAAAGTTCAATCATACAAATATCATCATTTTTACTATACACAATTTTATAGTCTAAATGTGTGTTTGATGAGCAAAGAGGATATGGTTTTTGATATCTCCAAAAATCAAAATTCTTTTCTGGTATTTGGTGAAACTAAAAGATATATCGAATTTAATATCTCCATCTATCATAAATCTTTAAAATGAAAGGTTTCAATGTCTCTCGAATTTGGGAGATATCAATATAAGGGTTTGATATCTTTTTCAACCGTTTATCATTCCCCATCACTGACGACCATTGTCACCACTAACCACTTCATTTGCCGGTTACTCTCGCCTATCACTAGTTAAATCATAATTTTAAATCTATACAAACAATTTTTTCAGATTTCAAAACTCATATCATTTCTCTGAGGTTGACTCATATTTTACCATATTTACAAAATTTACCAAATGGGCTCTAAGAGTCAAAGTACTTTATTTGTCCGAGTTTACTAATCACAAGTAGGTTCATTGACTATATTTCGGGAAAAATATTTTATAAAAATGCTAAGGGGCAAAGACTAAAATAGAATCAAAACATTGAAAATATACAAAAATAGGACTTTCATGTTTTTATTCCTGAAATATGACTTATATTATCAAACATGGTCATATACATTATCAAAAAAGTATAGTAATGTGCACATCTACAGTGCCACATTACTACCTAGAATGTAAAGTCTTATTTCAGGAAAGAAAACATGTACTCTATTTTTTATGTTTTAGTCACATTTAAAACCTGTTCTTTATGGCTTAAACTCTTAACTTTCAGTTTCTTCAAGTTCCTTCCAATTTCTTTCAGTTCTTTCTAGTCCTTCCAGTTTCTTCCAACTATTTTCATTTTCTTCAAACTCTTTCTACTCTCACCAATCAAATACTCTAAAAACAATATATTTTTAATGTGATTAATAATAATAATAATATTATTATTATTATAACTTTTATGTTCATAACTATAGTTTATAATCTATTCTTTTCATCTCACTATTTTCACGATTCACACTCGTTACTTTTTTTTCAACTTTTTAATATGAATAAGACAATTTTTTTGTTTTAATCTATATGATAAAACACGAAAATATCAATATGTTAAACTATATAAAAGAATTATGGATAAAACAGTGACATAGAATATTTTATTAATATAACTTTATATAAGACTCACCTTTTTCTTAATTACTTAAAATTTTTTTATTTTTCTAAGTTTTATATAAAAAAAAGTGTAAGTTAGAAAAGTTTATAGAAAAAAGACTAAAATAGGAGTAAAAAACATAAAAACTGTAAAAAAAAAAGGTTCTATGTCTTTATTCTAAAAGTAGAATCTCAATGAAAATAAAATGTCAATTATGAAAGAAAAAATCTATTATCCTACTATATACAATGGTAAGAGGAGCTTATGAACAGTATTCCCGCCCATTTTTTTGGGCTGGGCCACTGCATTTGGGCTGCTAAAGATGGGCTGATTTTTTAACTTTGCAAACTGTCATTGAAACCTATCAGTGTTGACGTATAGGGCTGCTGAAGATGGGCGTGATGTTGTGATTCTTGGGAAGGTGAATGGTATGCTTTTTGTGCTATGAATTGACGTGCAAAGTACTCAAGTGTGCTTCATTGAAATTCAAATTAAAAAATAGATATTGTGTGGCTCAATACTTTCTTTTTCTAAAAAGACGTGATTTACTTTATGTCAATTTATGGATTCTACAAATCTTTTATTGAGACATGTGTTTTATACTTTACAGCCTATATGTGTACTTATACACTAAAAAGTCATTGTTAATTGTGCTAAAAAAAGTCATTGTTAAGCGTGTAAAGTGGATTTCCAAATCTTTTAATTAATGTGCCAACCAACTCTTTCATGTAGTATAAATAAACTGCAAATCCAATACAACACAACTCATTCGCTGCGGAATGAGTACTAAGCAATCCAGACAACGGTTAAGGTACTGAGGAGGTTTTATTTTTGCATTTCTCAAAATGTATGGCTTACTAAAGAATTACAATGTCAAGTCATTAATTTTATTTTTAGGATTTTTTTTAAAGAGGGATGAGCATTATGGTCGATCAGAACCAACCTTTATTTTTCAGAATAATTTTTAATATTGCATCAAATATTAAAAATAGGTTAGAAATGATGCATACATTAATGTATAAAGCAAAGCAGTTTCGTAGTGTTGCAGTGAAGAAAATCTAAAATCTTGATTACAAATATGATTAAATGGCTTTGTCAATGATTAAGAGTCTTTTTTCAATACGCCATAAATTAAAATAGGTACGGCAATGTGTCAAAAAATGAGTTTAAATGCAAAATTTTATACATACTGCTAGGATTTTTTTTTCAGACCAAAGTATAAAAAATGAGTATAAATATATACCGTTGTTTATAAAAGACCCACACAAAATTGTCCAAATAATAAATCAATCAAAGAGGTTTGATAAAGGGGTTTTTTCATCATATATGAGAAACAATTTGAGCAAAATGATTTGAAATATAAGAAGAAAACAAATGAGACTAGAGCATAAGATCAAGGCATGAAAAAAACTAAACTGTGACAATTCTAAAAAAAAATACAGTATGTTTAAAAAGCTATATATCGTACCCTAGGGTCCAAATAAGATGACGGGAGACCTTATATCTCTGCACATCTCGGACAAAAGAACAACTGGGTTCACAAAATCAAGTTAAACAGATCATGTCTAGATGAAAATATTTATTGCAACTTAATTATTTGAAGCAGTTTTTCTATTTCTGCAAATAGATCCAAGAAAAAGAGATAAGTTTTAAAAATACAAAAATAGGGTATTATTAGATCTGAGAAAGGTGTATACAAAAATTCACTAAAAGATTTCAAAAAAATAGATTTTTATCTAACAAAACCATTATTTTAGCTATTGCGTATTTATTTTTAGAAAATTTAGTTAAGAATAAATACTTGATTTTGCATTGAAATAGGATACACGGCGTGAAAGAGACAAAATAAATAACACTGAAATCGTGAGATCTAAACATACATATGGAGTGATAGAATCATGAAAATGAAGTATGAAATACAAAAGCTAACCGAAATATCGTATTTGAAGAAAACCCCCGAAGACTTGAGTTTCTTTCCTCATCTTGGATGGAGATAAAAATATTAAACCCAATCAAGAAAAATGTGTTATCCTCTGCCATAAAATGTAGAGATGGCTAGAATTTCATTGCCTTCCAAGATGAGGATACTAGCGGCGGGTCGGAGAGATAGAGAGTCAGAGAGAGAGAGAGAGAGAGAGAGAGAGAGAGAATTAGGTTTAGGATAGTTGAAGAAGGGATGGAAGAGTAATAGGGCCATGTTTTTATTGGGTTGGGCTGAAGCTGAGGATGGGCCGGTAGGTTGGGTTGCTGAAATGAATATTTAATCCAAAAACAATATAGTCCCATACATAACACCACAATTTAAATACTCCATATTTTTTGTACAATTTACTGAGAAGTTAAATACTCTCTCCGTCTTTTAAAAAAGTTTCCTTTTAACTTTTTGATGATTTAAAGAGAGTATATTTTGGTGTTGACTTTCCAAAAATATTTTTTGATGTGATACATAAAGTAGGATTGAATGAATAAATTAATAGGAAAAAAAGTGTGATGTGATAAGTAGATTGAAAATTAGTAGTAATAAAAGTGATTTTTTAAAAGAAAATGAGAAGTGTTTTTAAGGATGGATGAAAAAAGAAAGTGGAACTTTTTTACGGGACGGAGAGAGTAGTAAAAAGTGTGGCATGTGGTATGTGGTCTAATAATTTCCTTTCCATACTTCACATGAATTGAAAATTTTATGTTGGGGTGTTTTTTTTGTAAAACATCAAATTTTTAAAATTTTAGAAAGAAGGGAAAAAATTAGAAAAGTTTGAGAAAATTTAAAGAGTTTGAAAAATGAAGTATTGATAAAAATATTGTTCTTTAAAATTTCATATTTTTAGCAAAGACAATTATATTTCATTTTTAACATTTTCTCACACTATTTCTCTTTCTAATCATAGTTTTGTGAGAAAATTGAAATGAGTAATAGTTTTGGCACTCATTTTTTCACATAAATAAACTTTCTTCCTTTTCACGATAATATTTCACATTCAAAAAGACCGATTTGAAACAAATTTGAGATTGTTAGAAAATGTTATCTTATAATTTAATAACTAGAGTCTATAAGAACATCGCGCAACTCTTTTAAGTTAAATTCGTAAATTATAAAGAGCATCATATGTATGCGTAGGTATAGTTTTTCACATATTGATAAACTAATAAAAGTATAAAACTCAAGAACCATTTACATCCGTGCACGTACACACACTACTCAAAAAATGCATGCATTTTTATTTAATTTATTATAAAGCATACGTTAATGTTACTTTATTTGTATTAAGCTTCCATTCTTAAAAGCACGGTTCCAGTGACATTGTGTACCGTTGACAATGTGGTACCATTTCTGTTTTTGAACAACTATAATTTTAAAGTAAATTCTTCTCAATTATGACTTCATATGCAATAACGATTAGCAAAAATTAAAAGTAATCTTTATTTCATGTTGGACTGTTAGTCAGAAATCAATATTCGGTCATGCTCACTTAAATCACAAAGGATTAAATTAAAGATTGTAAATCGCAAAAGATTAAATTAAAGATATTGATTTCCAATGAAGACTTGCACTATCGAACCATACTATAAATGTATTAATTTATATTTCTCTTTTTTTAGGATTATATTATATTATCTTATGGATTATGCTATGTGTACCCCAAGGTTTGTACCCCAATTTATACCCCGCAGTTTTGCACTAACCCTTTGTGTTGGTGTAAAACTAATTTTTGTTAAACGCACCAACATTTGTGTCCGTGTGAATTTTTTTTAACGCACCAACACTTGTGTCGGTGTAAACCATCGAAATGTTTGTGCAAACCTGTGGTGTACAAATGGGGTATATTTTTTGGTGTAAGTGTAGCATGGTCCTTATCTTATCTGTAAGTATTTTTATCATTTTCCTTTGTCAAAATTTTCGATGATTCTTTAGTAAATAATTTGTCCGTGCAACGCATGGGTACGAATTTAGTATATATAAAAGAAGGATGAAAATTGAGTGAGATCCAATCCAATTTGTGCTCCAATTTCAAGGAATCGGACGGCTCAATTTTATCCGAAATAACCAAATCTGGCCGTCAATTACAAACGCCGGTTGGTCTGGATTTTTTCGTGAAGATTTGCAACGTTTTCTCTCCACCCGAGTCCCTCTGGTTTTCCCTACTGCGGATTCTCCGATACCGGCCCATCATCGCCAGATTCTCCTCTGCCGGGGTCTTCCAAATTACAATCCCGACCACCTTTACTTTGTCTGGTGTGTCGTTGAAGCCGCGGGCAGCTTTTGAGTCAAGATCTCTTCAGAGGTATGGCGTGTCGGTGTTATATAGAGTATGATGATAATTCATTGATACTATACGAAAAGGTTACATACGTTTATCCGCCTTGATAATAATAACTACTTTCATCTTTATTTAACCGCTTATTCAATACTTGAATTGGCTCTCTGCAACTTTTTGCTATCTGTCGATCCCTGTTTTTCTTCGCCGTGATGGAATTATTGTTACTCAGGCGGGCAGTCAGAGAGGGAATAAAAATACGGAGTATATGATTTTGTTTTGGATTTCAATGTTTTGTTTGGGTGCTGTACCTTTGGGGTTATGCTCCTAAGTCATTGATTGTAGAGACACATAGGTAGACATGTATTTCTTCCTTGGAATAAGAAATTAGGTCAGAACAGATTCAGAGGTTCATATTTTCAAATCCAGTCGAAGCTTTTCTCGCTTGACAGTTCAAGACTAAACTCAAAGATTCAAATTTCTAAAATTTAAAGTAAAAAGAAATACAATGTATGCGCTGACTTTGAATCAATTGAGTGGATTTTATGTTGCCTAAAGGAATTCCATGTCAATCGATGCTCAAGCTTCTGGGCTATGAAGATAACAGAAGGTAATCACACTCTTTCACGTTTTGTTGATTCAAATTTCTTTAGTAGATTCTGTTGCATCCATGAAATAAGAATAGGAGATACTGTTATTATCAACCCTCCAGACAATGGCTATAGAGGATAGTCAGATTTCTTGGACCATAATCATATTTTGTATCGCTGCCTCTATGATTTCACTAACTCTAAACCTATAGCATCATGTTGGAGGTAGAAGTCCTCTTGTAAAGACACCCTGGTAACACACCTTAAAGGCCAGATTTTTCATATTATTGAGTCTTCAATATCCAAGATTTTGTTTCAATTGGATGTGGGTAACACTAAAAATCACAACACCTAGCTAGATTTTATCTTGCCCCATTCTAAAGTACTCTCTGCTTAGGCACAACCTTTTCACCCTCTCTCATTAGATGCCTTATCCACCCAAGCTATTCTGACCAATATCCACACCACCAATGTACTCCCAACTTGGACTCTAGAGAGTTTAATAAAGTTATCAATGAGCAGTGCACCTGCCTATACAATTCTTGGAGCAAGTTTAAAATTGCTGCAAATCATTTCAATGCAAAGAACAAGTGCGGACTCATATTCGATTATGACTTTTGGGCGATAATACAAAATGATGGCATTGTGTTCATTCCACATATGTTTGCTGACTTAGTTAACTTTAGGTGTCTGTGGCCCTTTGAATTTTTCTAGCTTCTACACTATTGAATTGAATGATGTATTAAATTGGTTTGTGAAGTTAAAACTAAATCTTACAAGCTGAAACATTTAGTCTCAATCATTTTACAATATAAACTAAAATGAACCATATTTAGACTTTAATTAGAATTTATTGGAGTACTAATACAATGAATGAAAATATTTTTTACGTTGACTGGAAATTATGCAGGAGCACATATGAATTTATTTGAATTTTTATATTAATATGTAAGCTTTATTAGGTTTTTAGCATTGGCTATAAGTGATAGTGAACAAGTTAAGGGAAAGGCGGGTAGCAACAAATGACCTTAACCCTCCGATAAAATGTAAATAGATTAAAGAGTAGGATATACAAATAGAACGGGCATACCCGAGCTGGGAAATGGTAAAACCAAATCCAAAGAAACAAATGGCAACATCACCAAGTTCAAACGTAAACAAGTAATCAGTTCAAAACAAGGGCGCACAGGCCAACAAATAGCAAATACAACAACATCAGAAGGGAAAAGTACGTAGAGGCCATAATCTCCCCAAAATGGAAAAGACCATAACCTTGATTTTAAAAACCATAGTCTCAACACATAGAGGTTCATGATCAAAGTAAACGGCATTGCGCTGTTTCCATAAGTGGAAAACCGTGCAAGCTAAGGCAATCTTCCTTGCCTTTTTGAGAATACCATCTCCTCTTTTAAAGCCCTTCAGCCACCTGATAGCTCTAGGGAGAGTACTCAACTGCCCTTCCATCCGTAGCCAGTCTTTGACAGCCCTCCAAACGTCTTTAGAAACCGCGCAGGTAAAGAACAGGTGGTCCACATCTTCAAGCTCTTGACCACAGAAGGTACATTCCATGGGCACTCCAAGGAATTCCAGGTTGGTTTTGGTGGGCAGTCTCCTCCTAAGTGCTAGCCACATCGTAAA